AGCGTCCGGAAAACGAAAAATAGGTCTCAATTGTGGGACATGTCCTGTCATCTGGTGACTATCCGTTGGCAGTTCAGGTAGAGTTTTGGATATGAGCCCAAGTAGCAGTATGCGTTCTGCACCAGCAATGTGCAGGGTATCAAATCACGATTTTTATGGAAAGGAACTTGGCCGAGAATGTGTTGTGATAGCAGTGAATACGTACATTATTAATATTTGAGAGATTTGCCGACATGCGCCATTGATGTGATCAGAAACTGTCTGTTGAAGCCAAAAAGCGTGTGTACAGGGCATCTGCAAAGCTAGTGGTTGTGAAATTTAGCCTTTCTGATTTGAGATTAGACAACCATAAGTAGGACTGCCAAGCTAATCTCCGTCTGTTATTCTGTATGTAGCCATGTCGCGTAAGTTTTGTAAAACTTTCGGGTCAACTAAATGATAGCATCTTCATTCTAAATGGCCCTCAGTTATATCCTTGCTGTGTTAAGTTGTAGACATCTCCTCAACCCCGTGCGCGACCCACAAGATTGCCTAGAGCTCTTCAGTCTCGCTTCTCCTGAGGCCCATCGGGTAGGCGCAGCCCTCAATCCTCCATGGACTTTATGGTCTACTTGACACCCCACTGTATGTAATTCCCAAAATGCATTCATGTTAGAACACAGTCGACGTTAACCGGAGGTTCTACTTATTCCAAGCTTTATCTTTCAGTAATAGCATTCTTATTCTTAATTTGCTACGTAGAGACTGTCTTACGATTCGACAGTATGATATCTGAGACATTGCAGTATCTTTTCCTGATGTAATACTACTATGCTTCGAAAGCCCGGGGCGAAACAAAACCTATAGAAAGGATCGTTTGTCACGGTTCATGAAATTTGAAAACACCGGAAAATCGCGACAAACAAGTGGATGCGGGTACCAGGAAGCAGTCTGACAAAAACAGGCGACCGGAGATGACTTCCGACGAGTACTAGGATTTTTTCCCTCGGGGCATCTCAGAAAATTACAGACGATCCGGACACAATTTTCACTCGAAAAGCTTGTTCCAGAAGGAGGGTATGGTAAGCCAAGGCATTAGCAAGACCCGGGCTAAGATTCCAATGAGGTAAGTTAAGTTAGGCTTTACCCTCCCAAGTAAAATCACATAGTAGCTGAGGTACGGTGGAAAAGCAGTAGAAATATACACAATTAAAACCGAAAATATATGTCACCATATTCACTCTAGCCAATAAACTTCCCCATCAGGCCTGTAGGTGAGAGAAATGGCTTTCGTATGAAAGTCAAACAAATAGTCAGCGCTTTGTAGGTGTGTGATATATAAAAATACATTGAAGTTTGGAATACAAAGTATGTTTTTTGTGATGCCCCAAATTTTATGGGTGTGACCGTTGTTGAAGCTTTTTCTTAGATCAGTAAGGACTGAGGACGAGATTTTTGTCAGTTTGTACCAGTCATGTCAGGATCCATATTCGCCATTTCGCCACTGATGGAAGCAGTTTTGCGTGGCATGTCACATTATGATCGAAAGTGATAGACTCACCTTCGAGCACAGGCTGACTACCTTTGCATACGAACCAGATTATCTGAATAATCCACAGGAGTTAGGTGGTTATCTGACCGTCTATTCGTTGTTATAAGGCAATAGTGAACTTTCGCAGTATGTACGCACGCGAATTCAAACGACTAATCGTACTTGGAAAATCATAGTTAGTTCTTAAGTGGTACAGAGCAATCGACTTCTAGCCCTTAAGAAAAATGTCTCACCAGGTAAATGACGATTGGAACTAGATCAAACCCCTTGGGGATCGGCGTTTTTGGCAGTATAGAGGAAGAATCCGATGGAGCGTCCATTATCAAAGTGCAATCTCTAAGTTGCTTGTGCCTAGCCTTTTGGATCTCATAACAAGCAAATTTTCATCCACCTATGAGAGTAAAGAAGTCGCCTAGTTTGTAGGCACCCCTATCTTATGACTGTCGATGTTTTGAAAAAATTATGGCAGGGCTACAAGTAGAAGGAACGAGAGATGCCAAAATTAATGTGCTGTTGGCAGAAAGTTTGTGGAGACAGATGAGAAAGAGGAACCTTGTTAGTTTTATTCAGGATTGTTTGTTACAAGTTTCGCATTGTAAAGTTTGTTTAAAGCTTATGATCGATCGTTTAAACAGGTGCATAGCTTCGACAAATGCCACTGTTCACCATATATGAGCCAGAGTCCCACACATCAAAAACGGCGAGAGGTGGCAAATTTTTACATTCGTAGCAAAAAATGGAGGTTTCGAAAGAAAATAGCGTAGCATATGGGGAAGTCCGTGATGGAACGATGGCTTATGAATGTGAGATTGATGTAGGTCAGAGACAAAGATTCGCCTCGTGATAAAGCGTCAGCGGGTAGGTTACGTTTTCGAGGTTTGCAGATTGCACCGTATCACAAACAAGACATTTCTGTTTGTCACCTGAGTATAACTTTATTTTAATTTTAAATCTGTCTTTCACGATGAATCGGCTGCTAAATTCATATAGACGTCAGCGAGATTGTGATTATACTTGAATCGGGCATCGACAGCTTTGTGAACTCGTATGGATAGAGTAATGATTCCATTCACTGGACGTAGGTGCCCTTGAGAAGAGGCCATCGTGATATAGGTAACTGCTACAGCAGCAACTAAATAAATTGCTGCACGATCAGTGGTGACTAGTAGTTGGATAAATACAGAAGAATGCTGAGGCTTGAGCTTGTCGAACGATAGTGGCAATGGGCCATGGAAATGGAAAACTGTATTGCGCTTGAGCAGAGGGATTCCATCACTGAAAGCATAGTGAAACCATTCTGGCAACTCATTGCTGTGCCTTTGCCTCCCTTGGAGGTTGAATTTCTCACAGCACACGAAATCTCTCTGGATCAGGTTTATTACACATTTTGAGACCGGTGACGCCACCAATCCGATCCTATCGATACACGAAGCAAAGTTGAGTTGGCAGGAACAGATCGCTGTTGACCCCACACATCTGCCTTCCTCGTTACCTCTTGATTCTTCCGTCCCATTTGACGGTCTTGCTTCAGTGGTAACTAAGCCGCGGGCCTTAGTAACACTGCGCCGTCTGATCTCATTGCGGAAACAAAGGTCCGGGGAACTGAGCTTCAGTTCCTTGGTAGATTTACTTATCTTGGCAACTGACTACATCGTGACGGATGCCCACTAAAGACGGGGCCGAAAATAACCATCAGCACAGATTCTGTAAACATCTGCAAACGAAGATGTTCACATCTATGTTGAGAGCAGTAAGATCAATAGGTCATACATAGCCTTATTTTTGGAAGGCTACAGTGGACGGGTCCAGCAAAACGGACAATCTGTGTCACAGTACCACGCACAGTCCAGTTCATCCGAGTGACTCAAATCCTTAATAATCTCTGCTGTGACCCCAGCCATGTTTCTTGTTGGTCAAACTTTAGTAACTTAGCCACAAACCAGAGTCTGCGTCGGTCTGATCGGCTGTTCCGTCCCCAAATTTACGGTGCAGCGGAGCTGAACCATCAGCCAGTGGTCTCCATTGTACATTATAGCAGGCCCTGAATTCCTCCCTAGTGGTGATCGCCCTTGGTGTGCACCGTTACTGTCAAGTCGTTTTGAAGGTCGTTAAATCCAGACCATCGACGCTGAAGGTGCTTCGGTTATCGTTTGATAACATGTACTACTAGAGCACCGTGGGTGTCCATTATCCGCACAATGCTCTTAGCTGCAAAAGCTTTGCGAGTAGAATGAAACTTTCTCATGCCAAAATATTGCATTTTTTACCCTTGTGCTCAAATCAAAAATCATTCCAATCTACATCCATATCTTTGCAGTTCACCAAATTTCATTGTCCACCGAAGCAACTACGCCTCTGGCGGAAAACATCTAGTGGGATACTTCCCTAGCATCGCTTTTGCTTTAAATCATCACGAGTTGTGTCTGCGCGTAAACCAGGTTGCGGGCAGATGGCTCAAGTTCCCGTTCGGAAGTGAAACCAACCTCCACGTACACAATGGTTAAGAGGCCCACGCACATCGGCAGGAGTAAAAACGAAAGATCGGCCCGACGTTTGCAAAAGTACATCAGAAACCAAGCAGAATTGTTTGTCCTTAGGATTTCGGCTAGTCACCCTAATTAGCCACTCCATGCTACATACCACCAGCCTCTAGTAGACCCTACCCAAAAAGAGAAAGCTGCCGTATAAAATCAAGCTTACTCTGATTCCAACTTACCCGGTTCACTGCCCTGTTGGTGACGGCGTATAGTGTCCCATTGCAGTGACTGACGTGTCCTAGTCACTTTTTGTTGAGTAAATCAACTGTTTCTGCAGGAATACTTTATAATCATCAATAAAAAAGGCAGCGACTATCCAAAGTAAAGATTTCAATTACTCTCAACTTGTCGTTGGATATACTTCGAATCAGGACGGACTATACGAATCGGTACCCATGGTCTACTCCCGTTTTAGTATCACTTGCTTGATTAAAATAGTATACGGTGCCCGACGTATGACAATTTGTGGGTGAACCTTTGACCCGTGCAGAAAACAAGCTGCCAGTGAACTCTAAAAGGTCGGAATTGTGTCCACGAGGTTGCACGAATTACTAGCATCCGCCAATTTACACATCAATCGCATGGTCGGACATTTTTATGTATCGACTTCGAATACCTGTTTTGTGCAACAATCCGTCCATCTCAATTCGCGATGAAATTAGGAATTGGTTCTGAATTATGCACAAACACAATAAGCAATTGAGGGAATCACTGCCAACCATTCTCCAGAAATGCAGCTGATGATCCTTGACTGGGAATCGATCACTCAAATGTTAGACTCGACCAGGACCTCACCAATCACATCAACTAGTAAATGCCTCCATGATTTCGGCTCAAATGCTGTTAATGAAGGAAAACCTGTGTAGTGTTCGGAAACAACATTGGCGGTAATTAAGGAGAGTGCCCGATTTTCAACTTTCAATTTAGGTTTTGCGTCAACTCATAGGTTCCGAAGGAATAGAAATCTGACAGGTCAATAAATACGACGACACGGGAGTAATGTAAATGATATTGGATAAATCAAAACTGTACATGCCTCACCACCATTTTGGTAGATAATCGGAAGCACATGATTCAGAATAGAAGCATCTGGGGCAGCAGAGAATGAAAGAAAAGTGGCGAGATGATGTGAGTGAACGAAACAATGGCATTGACAAACCTCCCAGGGTGATAAGACAAAACGGAAGGGGCTATCAGGATTCGACCGGAGAGAACACATCGGCATGCATGCTGTGCAAATAGCACAATGCGGCCAATTCATAACAAAATTCATCAAAAATTACTGCGCCGAAAACAAGATTTCGGACACGCGTGCTGATTTCCGGCTCCGGAGGATCGTCCTCATTCGAGTCTGAGTCGGCAGAACGCCGAACGGGTTGTGATCGTTTCGACTTCAAGATTGGACTGGAAGTAGTCAACTTCTGCGCACTGCGGGGCCACAGCTGTTTGAACGCAACGTGACCCAAAGGCAAACCAGACGTGCTACCCCAAAAGGACGTCAGACGATGTGTGGAGAATGAAGGCAGAGAGGTACGGCCAGGACGTTTATCAGATCTACTCCTTTTCGCGGGATACTGATCAACCGGAAAAAGTGGCATGATGAAATTCGAGTTGGTCCAGGGACGCACAGTCAGAACAAGGGGATCAATGGCGGAGCTGAAGCGGGAACTTGAGGTTGGTAAATTGACATTGTCGCCAGTCGTAATATTTCCGGGTGACGGCAACCAAACTGTCCGAGTTTCGTTTAGCGGTCTTAAAGAAGGGCGGTCAATGCTGGCGCCTGGTAAGGGAGATTTAAAGTACATATTTAAGGCAAAATACGAACCAAGTTTACGTATTTCAACCAGATGTACGATCAAAGGACACGCATTTCCGGCAACCAGCCTAGTTGCTCCATTGATACATCAAGTGAAACATAGACAACTAATATCTGTTCGCCCCAAGAGTGAACACATTGGATTTCGGTTAGTCACAAATTCCCAGTCAGTAGTCCACAAACAATCACTTCTATGGATGTTAAGCGAACTCTTAGAACAAACCCGACCACCAAGACTGGCACAGTCCATGATATTTTGTGATTGCGTACTCCACAGACAAAATCTAAACGCACTAAGAGCGACAGTTTCGAATTAGGAGCATTAAAAAGGGGGGATTTTGCCACAAAGTGGAATTGCTATTGACGGTAGTCACGCCCATCGTAGGCTGAACTTCAGAAACTATAGGTCTATACACACAGAAGGAAGTTTTATCCCAAACCTGAGGCACATTGGGATTAATGACCAACCGTATCCTATCTTGCTTCCGGATGGTGAGCAAAGCCAAACAAAGAGGATACTGTAACACTGCGGCCAAGACAAGTGAACTCCGGCTAGCAAAGGTTGTCTATAGGAGCATAGGAAACATGAATAGACCTGTACATGACAACCAAACCGAGCATCTAACCAGGTTAACACGTGATCTTTTAGTTATCCACTACTGAACCAATTTGTCGTTCACCCGGAGTAACTGGCTTATCATCAGCATTCGTGGCTTCAACCTAAGTCTTTAATACGCTTCTACTTAACTCATGAGATTCTGATGCCTGGTTTCAAACACCTTTTGAAGCCAAAGTAACACTAAAGAACACAGAAGCACCGTCCTGGTAGGCAGGAACATATGTGAGAGAAATTTGTTACCCTAGATTTTACCCCTGAATGCTAGGTTCATTTTGGGGAAAGTAGTTGGTTTGCAGCTTGTCATTCGAACAGTTTCCGGGAACGTTTCAGTGACCGCGGTACACAAACTTGACCGAACTATCTAATAATGGACGAATTCCCTTTTCTACAAGGACCTCCTACCGCCGCCAGCTTGATCGAGATACTGTGCGCTTTCTTACGCGAATCGGACTGAAAAATTAGGTATACATTCAATCCTTCCAACATAAATTCCATCGTACTCGTCAACGGCGTTTTGCGTATATCTGAAGATGTAATGCACACTTGGTGGCATCTGAACATAGTAGAATCAGACTCCTACCTGAGGTCTATTCAGTTATTACCTACAGACTTGTGATACGTAGCAAGAAAGGCGCCACCGAAAACCTAACGTAAACCTGTACTCGATACCGCGGACATCAGCGTTTTTGGTGACGACAACCAAATCACACATTACGATGTACTCAGAGGCTACACAGTGTAATGATATGATTCGTGCTGTCCCATGGGAGTCCTATTTATTGGGTATTGGATATGCTGAGGAAAATCGTTGCCGTTCAACTCAGTTTATCAACTATAAACCGTGTACTAAGGGTATGTTGGTTTCAGCTGCTACAGTTCCGATCACCGGAAAATTGGAGAGCGTGGAAGATACGCCCAAGCATTGGAGGCGATGATATGGTCAGCTATTTCGGGAAATTGGGTAGCCACACGCTGAAGGCGATAGTTTCGATGAACCAGCGCAACTGAGCCATGTCTGCCAGTGTTACAAACCACTGGTGAGTTGGGAACACAGCTTACAAATGAAACAATTCAACAGCCTCTTACACTTAGACTGTATGCAAACGCTCCCGTCAATACAAACTGCGTGGCTCAGTACTTGGCTTGACTTAACAGCGAATTCCTGAAGGTAATGTCGATATGGGCCAATGGGGCTATGTTGTACTAACTGTTTATGTGCTTGCGGCGTTGTTATACTGGTAAAGTTTTATTCACATTCAAAATCGCTTTTAGAGTGACCCAGTCTCAACCAAACGTCTAACCAGTTTTAGTAATCGGTCTCACGGACACCCGGGTCAAGATTTAAAGTATAGATGTTCCACATGAGCTCTAGGCAGTAGTGTTGCCTGGTATTCGTGAGTGTTGTTTCTATTTCGTTTTATTTGTTCATTACCTAGATTCGCTACTCTCCCACAGTTTACTTGAGACCACACACAACCATGTTCTGTGAGTATTACTTTAATTATCCTGACCTACACAACGCACTGCTGATTTGCGAGTTAAGTTCGGTGACCACGGGACAATGTCGAAGAAGTTATAGCAACCGGTGACGAGACAGCTACACATAAGACATATTGGTATTTTGAAGGCGACGGCACCGGCAAAAGCTGTTTACTGGCCCATGTCGGATAAATTTAGGACAGTACCGCAAAGGATGTTTCAAAGACATCACAACAAAAAACCCAGTCAGGTGCTGATCACAGCCTTGACCTGTTATAAAGTGGCCATAACGAATGGTACACACTAACCACACTGGACTGATTCGTGGTCACACGTACCTAGTAACTGTGAGCGCCTATACAAGCACAAGGATGCGAAATTTATGCCTGCGACCCCTACAACAACTGACATCAGAAAACGGACCGACACTTTCCGGTATTCTGGCTTAGTTGAGGGAAATGATAGTAACAGTCTCCCTAATGGATAGGACCAACGCTCTGTAGATTCCTTTAGGCGCGTTCTTCTGAAACCAGAAGAAGTTGGTATGTAGAGCGATAAGCACAGAACAGTCCGGATGAGAGCTCTCGTGCTGAATGCCTGCTGGACAGAAATGTGAGAACTGTTCTCAACATTCCTCGCCTCTCGTTTAACAAAGGCGGACAAAAGACGGTGTCAATAAAACATACGGTGCCAGAATCAAATGCTTCATTACAGGTGGTTTTCCCGTCGGAGGTTTTGCCGTGGTCAACAATGGGTCCAGAAACTCATTATTCGAAGAGGGCTGTATCATACGATATGAAGCCATTTGAGTTCAATATGGTAACCAAATACACACACACACCACAAACCGGAGGTTGGAAGAGAATTTCGGCCAAGAGTGAACAGGAATTTTCTACTGACGAGAAGTAATGCAACGGAGCCAACAGCTGGAAATTCAAGTTCTCGAAGTTCAAGAGATGGGTGGACGGTGCGACTTGGTTGCAACCAAACTGCTGGTCAACATAGCTAATACGCCATTACAGTGCCCAAGCCAAGGGCGCTGGAAACCAACTGCATAGAATCTAATCTGCTTGTTCACTATCCAAATTTGTCAAGTCCTCAAAACTCATGTGATACCAACACATGGCCATGTTCCTCTTCGTGCTTCTTTGCTGTGAAAACATATTTGAGTTGCTTGGACCCACAAAATGCACTCTGTCCACGCTAGATCACTGCCCTTTATTTATTCGTACCAATCACCTTGTGCGGGGTCTCTCCAGATTGATCTCCCTTGCGACATCTAGGTCGGTGCACAGGATCTAGTAAGAAAATTAGCTGAACGCCCATACGAAAACTCGCAAGTGAGGAGTAATAAAAAAAACCACGTTTCCTTTTGTTACTATGGTTATGCTGGGTAGAGTCCAGAAGGAATTTCGGACGACAAAATAGGGGTATCAAAAAGAACACAAGTTTTTTTTCAACAAAGACGCGATCTATATAAAATCTATCCTACATCACTAGGAACGCCTTCAGCCAGTGATTGCGAAAACGGAAGGGACTTAAGTTTCACTCTCAGCACCACAACATGGTGGAAGGATTCATAGAAACGCTTGAACATACTTCGTCTAGAAGAGCCGGAGTGCGAAGTTGAGGGGGATGCAGAACTGCCATTTTGTTGATTCAAGTGTTCTGTAGAGTAGAAATCCGGATCGATGACAGTATCAGTGGCGTAAGGTCGCCCACAGCTCAAATATACCCGAGCCCGGTAGACTAGGGAGTGCCAATTCTCTACGGATGCTGAAGTTACCACTAGTTGACTTCGTACCGTATGCAATACCTTAACAGAAATGTTGAACGAAAAAAGTGGCAAGTCAATGTGGGTGAGTTATAGACAGCGATGACTGAAAAGGGGTATTAGAAGAAAATTACCAGAGATAACAGGCAGACAAGCAGACAATAAGCTCGAGTGATACGGTATTTGTGAGAAGCAACGGATGATTAGTCTTTATAATCAGCTCCTGAAAAGTGTGGTGGTTCGCGTAGTTCGGGGGTACACCCGAAGATGTAGCACGATAGGCAACAAACCGGAGCTTGTGTCCGCAGAGGAACGATGACAGATAACTATCCAAGAGACCACTGTGCCACTACGGAAACAGAACAAATGTAATGTGTTTAGGGCCACAAAGTGGTGAGGGAACCAGGAATAACAATCGGGCTTTTTTTAAGACCGCTTCAATAAAAGTGGATGATGTGTGGATGATGGGAGGGCCGAAACTCTCACTAATACATCAGCCGCTCTCGAGGAGTAAACGTGCACATAGCACGTCACGTCACGTCACAGTCACTACACAATAAGTGCTACCTGAAGCAGACGGACGAAATTGCATTGATTGCTTATTGGATGAAAGAAGAGCAGAGAGTGTGCCACAACGACGTTCACAGTATATGCTACTAAAACCAGGCCACTTGCCTCAAACACCAAACTTCCTTCAAAATTAAAATAATTATCTGGAAAGCAAATCACCCAAACAACGGAATACGGTCTCGTACAAAGCGATATGAAGGTACGTAGTGGGCAGTGTCCCTGAGAAGGCAAAAGGAGCCATCTTTTGCTGAAGGTTACATCAGACAGTAAATCAGCTCCTCGTTTCAGTAAAATCTAAGAAGTTCGGTTAGTCAACCATATGGGTAAAAATGAGAGCAGAGTGAAAAGGGAAGAAGGCACGTCCACTAGCATATTTCTCGACTATAGGTAGGCCGAGATATCAGTTGCCCTATCAAATACACAAGCCGTCACACCACGACAAGAATCAGTTTTCCTGTGGGGATATCTGCCAAGTGCAGCACATAGATGAACGGTACTTTATTTTCGATTGAAGAATAAACTTTCTGAACTAGAAATGCATGCAGTCGATCGAGTGTGGCTTAATTCATAATTCGCACCATCCAGGGCATGTAATGCATTATAGCTGGTGTTGATGACAGCGGTCATCAGTAAGTCTCCACCAAACATACATTGAGGATATCGAAGCTGGTTACTGTTTCTTCTCGTCTACTTATCAAGCAAGTGAGCTACTTCGCAGGCAATTCAAGTGAAGTCTTGTCTTCTACAACTTGCCTGTTTAAAGGTTCTTCCAAGATTCAAAAGGAAATTTTCACCGAATTTGAAAAAGAGCCAGCCTGCATCTCGTCTTGGGATGCTGGAACATTTCCCAACGTCTAGCAATCAGATCATAGAAGTGACATTTGCTTCCAGCTGGTATTAAAAATGCGAAATCGCTGCCAACCTTTTAATTACCGCAAATGCGTGTTCCAAAGTTTCATCTATGGATGCTAAGACAAAGCAAGGTTCACATCAAGCCTCGACTGGGAAAAAACAGATACTATGGTGCAATATCTGGATGCGACAGATCATGCGTGTACTAGGCAGCTGGACGGTGGTCGCATTAGTCACGTGCAACGGAGGTATGGTTCTAATGTAGTACAGTAAATGCTTACAAACACGTGGCTAGTGCGACCGCCACTCGCTGATCGTACGAATTAGTGCTTGTACGCGAGTTGGGCACTACCATGCTCTACAAAATACGCACTGAACCAAGTATAGTAGGTCAGCGTCCTGATAACGACTAAGAATGCATAAAAAGCGAAAAATACTACGGGACGAGGTAACCAATCACAACACGCGGAATGTGTGTGAAGTGGACTGTGTGTCGTGACAAAGCACCTGATACACGAGCACACGTCCAGCCCGTTAGTCTTATGGTTCATTGGTATACTGGTCGCCTTTGATAAGACAACACTTATCGTCTATTTTGAAAATCATTTCACCCTATGCCTTTGAGATGGGTTGAGAACTGAAATCAATCACTTTTGTTCAGATGGACTCTACTTTTTATGCAAACCCATTACTAAGTCAATCGTTGCCAGAGAGAGCCGCAAAATTCTTCAACATTCAGCCAAACGTGTTCGATCATTCATCTTACCCTGTCCACTCTGCTCATTTATATCCAAATCCTAGAAATCAGAATCGGGAACCCATTTGAACATGCTGACAAAGATTACATCTGTTTCCTGTCAAGACGATAACTTTATTATAAAGAAGCGGCTTCATGTGAAGCAATATCACAGTCTCGCCTTCTACCTCGTATAATACTCCAATTTTGAAAATTCTGAAGCGATCATGTATGGACATCAGTGGACATCTGTCCTAACCAGAACAATCGCGTCGTGACGGGGGACAAACCGTCCAAACGAGAGAATGCGAACGAAATGACGCTCAACCCGAATCTTATATGTGCCAAATTATTGGAACAGAATACACTTCCATGGAAAAAACATAGGATTTTGCTGAAAAAAACTGGTCAAAAAGGATAAGCACACAAATGCTGACCGGCCTACCTTGGAAACTGAATTGGCATTCGACTTAAGCGCCAAACCGACCGAGTTCAGAAGGTAATTGTACAACAGTGGGCATGGATAGGCTGCCAGAGCGGCTATCAGGTCAGTCAGTAACAGATTGGTAAAAAAGCAGTTGGTATGCAAATTGGACAACCGATTGAGAAGAATAGAAAGAAATGGACCTGTTAGGGAGAAGAGCGAAAAATCAATAAAAGATATGGATGAGGTAACGCATATAAAAAGCAAGCGAATTTGAGTAAAGCGAATTAGATGGGAAACGGAGGCGTGACAGCAAATGCGGAGTAAAGTTGATCACGAAAAATGCTCCAACGAAAGTTCCGTCTTAACACAAATCACCATCAAGGAGCATTTCGGTTGCTGTTCAGCCAACACATCCAATGGGATACCAGCGATAGATATAAACGCCCGAAATCATCACAGTTGAATAGTTGAACATGTTAGTGCACGAATGGGCTACTCTGATCTAAAGTTTCAATCGACAGCCTTGTACACATCAAGCCTCGACTGGGAAAAAACAGATACTATGGTGCAATATCTGGATGCGACAGATCATGCGTGTACTAGGCAGCTGGACGGTGGTCGCATTAGTCACGTGCAACGGAGGTATGGTTCTAATGTAGTACAGTAAATGCTTACAAACACGTGGCTAGTGCGACCGCCACTCGCTGATCGTACGAATTAGTGCTTGTACGCGAGTTGGGCACTACCATGCTCTACAAAATACGCACTGAACCAAGTATAGTAGGTCAGCGTCCTGATAACGACTAAGAATGCATAAAAAGCGAAAAATACTACGGGACGAGGTAACCAATCACAACACGCGGAATGTGTGTGAAGTGGACTGTGTGTCGTGACAAAGCACCTGATACACGAGCACACGTCCAGCCCGTTAGTCTTATGGTTCATTGGTATACTGGTCGCCTTTGATAAGACAACACTTATCGTCTATTTTGAAAATCATTTCACCCTATGCCTTTGAGATGGGTTGAGAACTGAAATCAATCACTTTTGTTCAGATGGACTCTACTTTTTATGCAAACCCATTACTAAGTCAATCGTTGCCAGAGAGAGCCGCAAAATTCTTCAACATTCAGCCAAACGTGTTCGATCATTCATCTTACCCTGTCCACTCTGCTCATTTATATCCAAATCCTAGAAATCAGAATCGGGAACCCATTTGAACATGCTGACAAAGATTACATCTGTTTCCTGTCAAGACGATAACTTTATTATAAAGAAGCGGCTTCATGTGAAGCAATATCACAGTCTCGCCTTCTACCTCGTATAATACTCCAATTTTGAAAATTCTGAAGCGATCATGTATGGACATCAGTGGACATCTGTCCTAACCAGAACAATCGCGTCGTGACGGGGGACAAACCGTCCAAACGAGAGAATGCGAACGAAATGACGCTCAACCCGAATCTTATATGTGCCAAATTATTGGAACAGAATACACTTCCATGGAAAAAACATAGGATTTTGCTGAAAAAAACTGGTCAAAAAGGATAAGCACACAAATGCTGACCGGCCTACCTTGGAAACTGAATTGGCATTCGACTTAAGCGCCAAACCGACCGAGTTCAGAAGGTAATTGTACAACAGTGGGCATGGATAGGCTGCCAGAGCGGCTATCACGTCAGTCAGTAAAAGAGTGGTAAAAAAGCAGTTGGTATGCAAATTGGACAACCGATTGAGAAGAATAGAAAGAAATGGACCTGTTAGGGAGAAGAGCGAAAAATCAATAAAAGATATGGATGAGGTAACGCATATAAAAAGCAAGCGAATTTGAGTAAAGCGAATTAGATGGGAAACGGAGGCGTGACAGCAAATGCGGAGTAAAGTTGATCACGAAAAATGCTCCAACGAAAGTTCCGTCTTAACACAAATCACCATCAAGGAGCATTTCGGTTGCTGTTCAGCCAACACATCCAACACATCCATCGGCAGCCTTGTTAATACACTGGTATTATGGTCATACACAAGTTAGGCACCTGCTACTTGACCCTGCCACTTGAGTAAATGGTCACGGCTATGCGGTAGCGAAGCATCGGTGTCTGACACTTTTGTTAGTATCAGTGATAGTGATGACGATGATTCTTCGAAACGACCGAGGCAGCTTTGAAGCTGATTGCTCGGCTATTCAGTCGACGGACGTCCGGACTAGGTTGGCAATGAAGCCTAAAATGGAAATCAGCTAGGCACCAACAAGCAAAGCAGCAAGATGCCCAAACGAAATACGAATAAGTTCCATTAAACTGAGGTAAGGCACGACTTGGAAGTTAAAAGATGACAGAGGAAGAGCCTTCTCAAATAAAATGAGTGTATAAAAACAGTGTTCTATCCTCAGTTCAGACGAACGAAGGTTAATTTCACATGAGCAGCTGAAAACCTTGCAAATGCACAACTTGAACAGAGACCCGATAATTTGGGGACAAACGAAAACAAAAACAGAGGAACGGCCGGGCACTCACCGATTCCACCCGCAATAGGTGATTTATTTCGTGCAGGATGTGAGGAGTTCGAGGTGTGTGTGCTTGAGCTCGTTGGCGACTGAGCTTGTGTGCAGACACCACTACACAAAGTTTGATGTTCTGATGATAGAAGACTATCTCGAGGCTTCGGAGATAAAACTGGATTTATGGCTTCGCCAGGAATATCAAGTTCTTGAAGGAATTCCGGATCGATCGGAGGCAAGGTGGAACAAGAAGGAAGGTGACTGAAGTGAAGCGAACAGTTCCAAGGCAATGAAACATGGTCTAATGCAGTTAGGAAAGAATTTAACTCATCAATTTGCAAAGGTGAATCGGCGTCGTCGTCATCGTTTGAATCCTCAAACGACAAGCCCTCAAGGGACGGATTTGGAAGACAGGTGCAGACCTCATCGTCGGAAACAGGAAAATCATTCAAAGGTTTCGAATCGAGGGTCTCAACTAGATTTGCAGAAAGAGTTTCTGGAATATCTCCGCGCGAATTCGACGGGTCGGTCGACAAGGCGGAGACCGCCGGCTTCCCATAGTCGACAGCGGAGTCATCGTCTGAAAGATCACAAATGTAGTTCAGCTGATACAGTGAAGATGCTCGAACATGAGATCTAGATAGAAGGGGGGAAGATCTGAAGTCGTCGGTGACATGATTTTCTATGGATGAACCATTAGATGATGCCGAAGGTTTGAAAGGTTGACTAGCAAGTTTTGTGGGTGTGGTCTGAAGTTCCTGTTGGTTACGAATTTCAAATTCTTCCAAGTCCTTGTCAGACAGAAAGGTATCAGTGGTACCGTTCGACAGAATCAGGGGAAAGTACTTGGAGCTCCAAGCCTGACATGCACCCACACGCCGACGTATACGAGAGAATGCGCTGCGAAGATATGGATAAAGGAAAGGGGTTTCTGGGGCTTCGAAAGTGGCATATGCATTGTTGACTAGCACCCAATCAGCTTCCTGTGAATTGCTAGAACTGCCCGACGCATTTCGATCGTCTGACACTTGCGGTTGAGTCGGAACACCATCGGAACTTGGAGACTGGACACGGCTGATAGAGAAAACAATAGGAGTGGAACGGTCAAAATAGAAACCAGCGAACGCTCTGTTGGCGTTGATGTTTCCCTTAAAGAAATAGTGAGAACGACAAATTTGCTTCCACTGGCAACCTAAATAGGCTACGACAGGGCTCAGGTCCCTGTAGCCTCCACAAATTAACCACACGACACGACACACGCGGCATATTAAAAGCCCTCCATCAGAAGCATAAATACAACCGCAAAAAATTCACCATACAATGAACTTCAAAAGAATCGGCAATGTGCGCAATGGATTTATCTCGGGTGAATTTTGATAGAAAATTGACAGCAAAGTGAAATATGAAGCGGTAGCCTAGCGGATATACTCATCTCTCAATTTACAAGTCATTGTTTTGATGATGAATGCCAAAATGATCGAACAAGAGGAAATAGCCCTGAGACGCAGTAGTCTGCACCTTCCATTCGGGCATACGTTCCTTTCTGACGCAAACAACTGCTGCCCCAGTTATGGCGTCCTTATTGACTAAGTGCCTCTTGTGTAGTATTGAAGGGAGTGCACACCCGGGCAACTTCCAATAGGGAATTTGGCGAAATCACTCTATAGCGGTGTTCCTCACGTTTGAACATTTACATTTATTAGCCCAGCAAATCTCCAAAAAAATAGTTTTCCCTCTCGTGTAGTATCTATCCGTCATTCTTTAGGTTCCGGCGGATATCGATAGACCAAATAAGACTGATACTGAATCAGCTAGGTATATGGACAGATTGGTTGATCCACCAGCGCACTACCTTATCGGGCTATCGGACTCAGTCCTGCAAATAGAATAACCATCCCTCATATGCGGAGCAGATCAGACGGAAAACTATTTGTTAGGTGTTGGACAATCGAAATGTGCTCTAACTTTAAAACCATGGTCTGGGAAGCAGTCGAACACCCCCACGCGGTGTCACATGATACTGAGATGCGTGTGTAAATAAAGCAGCGAAACACACGAAGCACAATTTGGCCAGACATAATGATAAATGTCACTGAAAATTGGTCACCATGACATGTAGTCCGCTTTACGGTCTGACTCCCGTGCACATATATATATATCTA